GAGAAGTAAAAGTCATTGTGTCTCAATGTGTTCCGCATTTGCTTTTGCTGGTGGACACAGCTATCCATGCCTGTATGCAGAAGCGCAGAATGCTACCCGTGTGGATACATGCATTCATGTTTTTGTTGAATACACATGCATGGATGTGAACATCATACTCTTATGAAATCTTTCATGACACTAGAGCTGCTAGAACTCAACATTTCACTATAAAAATACAACTTGGAACAACAGACCTCACTGTAGCATAAAGATACTGATATTCTACCAAGCAGTTAGAACATTTTTCTAAGTCACATACTCCACTTTCTGTGGTATGTTTTCTCCTTAAAGATACTGCAGAATTGGTATAAATTATATTCCTATGAGAAAGACTCCAAATCCAGATTCATTTGATGCCCCAAACTTCTCAGTCTTCAGACCAGTTCCTAATCAGTCATATCAATGTGAATGTGTAAAGTCTAATAAAATTACTACTTAACATGGTATTTCAGCTGAGGGCATCCAGGTTATAATTTGTGTAAGTGAGCACTGAACAAATTCTCCTGATCAACAGAATGAAAAAAAAATGTCCTTGACTAGTACAGTTTTCCAACAAAATATTTCTTTCTTTATTGTTTTTTGTTTGTTTCTCTCTCCCTTACTTTTCAGAAAACTATCAGAGAGTTACTAGGGCTGGGAAGTTTGTGTACATCATGTCCATTTTCAAAAGCATTCTGTATGGGATGTTTGTGATGGGGCTGGTGCTTAGGTCTGAGGAGAAGAACAGAGTTCTACTCTGTACACATTTGTCCTAACATTGTACAGGAGACCACTTTGGATAAAATGATATCTTAAAGTTGATATCTATATAAATCCACTCCTCTACAATTTTCTAGAGAAAAAATTTCAAGAGAAAAAACTAGTGAGAATGAAGTGAAGGATTTTGGATAAAAAGAGGAAAAGAACTGCAGGGAGATATTGCACAAGGCAATGAATGAAGTGTTATCAAAATGTGTGATCTTTTTAAAGAAATGAGTAAAAAGAAAAATTAGGAAGAATAAGAAAATAAGAACTACCAAGAAAAGCAAAGGAGGAAGGAAAAAAATCGATGCAACTAAGAAAAATGGAAGAGAATCTAATATGTGGGGAAAATGGAAGGGGAACCAGAGTGTGGTTCTTTAAAGCTGTGTTTGTGGGCACCCTTTCTGTACAAGATAAACTATAAACCCAAGGGATTACTGATACTGAGGAGTGTTTCTGGAGATCTTTCATCCACTTTGCATCTCATTAAATTATTACTTTATGACAGAAGTTAAAGAACTGATAATTCAGAGGTACCTCACTTAGGAATAATTGGAGAACAGGGCCGTACTTTTTAATGTATAAAAGTATCCGCAACAGAGGTAGGAATAACACAGGCCAGGACAGAGGAATGCTTGTGGAGTTTTGTAAGCAGAACTTCTGGGAATGCAATAGCAAGGCAGAAGGAGTAGGAGGCATAAAACAGAGATCCTGAAAGGAGCTTCTGTCTAACTTAGCCAGGGTCTTCAACCAAGGGGGAAAATATCTCTGAAGGCCTTACAAAAAATAGTACTCCAGAATCGGAGCAGATTACATGACAAATTGTGCTTGAAAACACATCTTTAAAGGAACAGCAGTTGAATTTTAGCAAAACAGGATGCGGTTTGACATTTACTCAAAAAAGCATTTTGATAATGCATCAGCCTTTCTTACCACAACACCACCACAGCCTCTCAGAATGAAGCATAGGGTGCAGCTCTCTGTTCGCCTTGTTACAGTTGGACCGAAATAGTGACACATACAGGCCTTATGAAAGTCAGTTGGTCTTTTGTCTCATGTTATCTCACGATCTTGTTACTGAAGTTTGCAGATGGGTTTTACATGTGCAGCTGCTGTACAACACAAAAAAACCGAAAGACTTGTGGGTTTGGGAGAGTTGCTGATGTGTTTTTACAAATTAAAAAAAAAAGAAAAGAGAAACACACTTTATCTAAGTGTCTCAAAACAGCAAAACAAGATGATTTTTATCATATATTTGTAGAAAAATTTTGATGGGAAAGGACTTCTGGAGGTCTCTCAATCTAAATTTCTGTTCAAAACAGGGCTAATTCCAAAGCTAGATTATGTTGCTCAGGTCTTCTTCTAGGTGAATTCTGAGTAACTTCAAGGACAGAGATGTGACGAGCTCTTTGAGAAATATATTCCAGTACTGAAACGCCGTCAAGAGGAAGTATTTTTTAGTTATGTCTAATCAGAATTTACCTTGCTGCAGCTTTTTCCACTGGCTTTCACTCTGTCCCTCTAAGATTCCAACTCTATTTAACAGCTGAAGTCATGCGAACAGCCATCTTTTAGTCTTCTCCTCTCCAAGATGGACAAAATAAATTCCTTCAGCCTTTCCTCTTATGTTTCTGCTTCAGTCCCCTGCTCATCTTAATGACCCTCTGCTGGACTCTACAGTTTGTTGATAACTCTATTGTACTGGGCCTGCGGTAGGATAGGGGTAGAGACAGTATTCTAAATATAGCCTCAAAAGTACTTCAATATACTAACTATATTCTTGCTAATGCAATCAAAAACATAATTAGTCTTCATCACTGAAAGGGCTTGCTCTTTATTCATGTTCAATTGCTTTTCTGCAAAGCTGCTCCCTCGTCAGTCAGATGATATTTAAAGGACTCAAAAGATGGTTCTTCCACCTATTCCCCAGAGGATGTGCCTGTAATCAAATAACTCCTTTATCAATGAGGAAATACTGCACAATAATAATAAACTGAAATGTTCTCTTGAAGATTAGTATGCTTAATCTGCACATGTGCTAATATAGATAATCCTTTGCCCTACAGGACTTAGAGTATAATTTGATATAATTCAGATTGGGTTAAAGTAACCTCAGAATGTGGATCTCAGAATGTCTTATCGTGAAATATTCCCATTCTAGAAGCTTTCTTTAAAACTTTCCAAATCATTCTGACTGGAAACATTTTATTATTATTTATTTCAGCAGTGCTTTTTACTTAAGGACAATATAGGACAATTCATTATAATATCATCATGGAATGCTTTATACCTCATTCTATAAATAATCCTACTGCAACTATGGCACTATTTGAAAGAATGATAGTGCTAGAAAGACATTAGTAGATCTTTTTCTGTGAAACTTTTCATGCCAAGCCTGAAATATTCCAACATGGAGAGATTATATAATAAAGAAACTTACATTCACATCCTGCTTGTTCATCCCTCTACAGTTTTGTCTTCAAAATATGGATGCTTTCTGGAGCAGTGCTCATAGGTCTTAGCTCCAAGTCAAAGAGAACTACAAGACTTTGCATAAGGAACATCACAAAATTGCCTAGGAGAAAAAGACCTCAGAACTCATCTACAGAGAAAAGGAATAAACCAGAGTGATACAGACTATGTCACTGCTTATTAAGCTGTGAGAAAGGTATAACTGTGAGGCATAAAGAGATAGATGTGTCACACAATGGCGTGTGCTCCAGTACGAAGCCAGAAGTAAACTGGATACTCGGAACAAATTCTGAATAAATGGAAATTTGCATGTTATTTTTCTTGAATGTGGATTGATTCTAAGTTGTTCTAGTTTTACCTAGACCCCCTAATTTTGTTAAGTGATTTTTAATTTCCAGTTTAGTCTCTTCTAAAAGGCCGCACTTTCTGAAGCTAGAAGCATGTTTTTGCAGCCAGTGTGTGCTACTGGCAGTTACTGCCTGGGACTGGGATGCAGAAAGGCTCTTGCTTATACTTATTCCTGTAGTGATCAAGGCCACTGCTGGCTCTTACGTGCCACACTGGGAGTGCTGAGTAGTAAGAGGGGTCAGAAGGAAGTAGAAGGTTTCACCTCCGGGGGCTAATAGACAGGACAGGTGACCAACAGGAGTATTCCATTCCATAATAGACATGTTTAGTATAAACTGAATGATTACGAGAGTTTCTGTCCTTTTTCTGCAATGGCTGGTGTCCAGGGAGGACTCTGTCCGATCTCCTGCTTTTGATCTGGATCCTGAGATCCCGAATGCAGCTCCCTGCCACCACTGAGCCTGGGGCTTCCTCAGTGCCGCTGGCTCTGCAGCATCAGTGGGGATTGCGATCGGGGGAGGAGTTCAGGGGAGTTTGGAGGAGGTCGATATCGGGCTTATATAGAGTTGTGTATAGTTTTTTATTTTTATCATTTCACTATTTTTTCTATTATTGTTTCATTAAAGCTATTTTAGTTTTTCTTTTCTATCTCATTAATTCTTTCTGCCTCATTCTGTTTTCCTTCCTGTTTAGGAGGGAGGAGGGTTTTAGAGAGCAACTATCTGTGTTTAGTGGCTGGCACAGCCCTAACCGACAACATAAGTGCATACTACTCTTTACTATCTCTTTTTCCTCTTTATATTCTTCATATACATGTAACTTTTCAGAATATTGCCATGGCAATGGCTGCTGTTTTATCATTTTAACTCAGTCTGTGGCAAATCAGTTCTGTTTGGCTTCTATTTTTATATAATTCTTGTTGAGGCCCCTTGTCGTTACTCTTGACAGTCTTAGTTCTACAGACTTTTTGACACTGAGGTAGCCTTTCCAAGTAGAGTGAAATGCACTGTTGCTTTCATTGCTTGCTAATGTTCAGAGACGAATGACAGTGCACATGCAAGTCACTATCTTTGAAGTGTTTCAGACTTACACATATATTTTTCAAGTAACTGTTTTGTGCCAGTTAAGAAAATGGTTTAGGGGACAGAAATTCATAACCATGTAGATGGCAGTTTCTATTTATTTTATGTCTGCTTTTGGCTAACAACCTTTATTGCTTGTTTTGTTCTGTTAGAGAATAAATGGCTGATGAGGAGAGAGGAATTCAGCACTTCAAAGACCTATTCTGCCTCTCTCTCATTAGCAACACCTGGTTTATGAATAGGCTATTGGCCTACATACACTTTTCCTGTGCTGAGAGCAACTGTCTGCTGAAGGGGTGCTGGAAAGAAGAGGAGTTAATGTAAAGAAAGCAAATGACTTTGAAGAGTTGTGTCTACACTGCTGGCACAGAAATAGGTGGCTGAATTGTTCATCTTCACAGATAAAATAACCAAATTGAACTCTTCAGTATTTGGTCGGTTAGCTTTGTATCCAATGTGAATGTCACCCTCTTTTTGCTGATTTACAGCGATGGAATAATAGATCAGTTGCAGCCCCTTCCCTGGCTGCTGCAGATACCAGTACATAGAATTGTGATTATTATTTTGACTGCATGTCAGAGTAGCTCTTTCATCTTCTTTCAGCAAAAGACTTGAGGGTTGGGTGACTTTAGCTCCTATAAGAAAACAAAAACACAGTAAAAAACCTCAGACTACATTATCCCAGCAACAGAGCAGGTATCATGGCTCTCCTGATTCCTTACTTGCTCCAAAGAAGTACATGGCCACACACCAAACTGTCCACATCCTCATTACTGCCTCAGTAGTCAGCGAGTATGCCCCTATAAGGAGCTTATATATGTCTGATTCACATGTTTCTCTTAAACCAATAGCAGAGATCTCTGTAACAGATAAATCCATGCTGAAAACCAAGCTCCTTCCTGCAAGAAATGTCAAGCAAACACTATCTGAAGTGTATCTGTTGAAAACACACAGAAAGTTTCAAACCGTCTGAGATGGAAGTTTTTCTTATTCCATCAGACAGGATACTGTCATAAATGACAATTAACTTTTTATTTACCCTTCTATGTTTCATATTTTATATTTTATTTCCAGAATAAAACAGAAAAAGCCTACTGTAACCAAATAAAGCATTTTTATTATATTGGTGACTACTGTCATTTTTATTTCTGGAAAAAGAGCAAATACGATACATTTGCTCAGACTGTAATTGTTTTTCTTCCTTCTCCAGCTGTCAGTATCAGCACGCATGATCTCATTTTGGGAAGAGCTTTATATGGGAGCCTGTTGTAGTCTGAGCACACACCAGAAGTGAAGGAAACTTGGATTGTTCCTGAAGAAAACATCTAACAACTTCTTGTTCCTTAGTTGTCCCAGCAGTATGTGTGTTAATTATAAACCAAAATTCCAGGTTTCAGAGTGATACCACTGTCTCTGACACAATCTTTTAAGCTGTATTAACAAGACTGATCATCCCTGTCCTACCACGATATTTTGGATGGACAGTGGGAGCCATCACAGCAGTCATATTTGCCATCTCTAGCTTTGAAATGAAGCCCCAGAAATCAATGTCAAAATCAAACATCTTTGCTACTAAAATTATTATTCCTTATTTACGTGAAAGAATACCACCTGCTGGATGAAAGGTTGTTTACAGTGAGCCTTAGGGGTTGTACTTGCCACAGTTCTCTATTTTAGAATTGACAGAACTGTATGGAAAGGGGACTGGAACTAATGCACCAGAGACACATGTCTGTCATTAAAATGGTGACTGTGAAATGCTGAATTGAAAGTGTTCACTCAGAAGTACACAACTTCTTTTTCTGTAGGAGAAAGATCTCAGAGCTGATATTGAGAATGGAATTTCACAAAGCCAATATAATGCATCTGAAAGAGGGAAATAATGTGTTAAGTAACTTATGAGGTATCTAACTAGGTACACTGTAAAAGTTGTCCTAATATCCGGGTAAATGGGCTGGAAAGAAAAGTCTCCTTTCACACAGAATACATAGTTATTTTTTCTCTGGGTTTATGTGAGACTGAGGACAGAAGAGTGGTCTGCAGCAATGTAATACATATAACATTTGAGAAAAATATCCAGATTCAGCTCCAATGTTGTCATTGTCTCAGGCCAGGACCTGAAGCCAGACAACCAACTCTCTAGTGTACCATGTTGTAAGGTATCACAAAGTCATAAATGGCAAATGGTTTTCTACTGTATAAAAAGTGTAAGTTTATAGCCTTAGGCTTTTTTTATGGGACAGATTCTATGTCTGATCAATATATATTTAAGTATTTACTATTTAATATTTAAAGCAGATATCATGGTAGGAGTCAGTTATAAACCACCCAACAGGACAAAGAGGCAGAAAAAATATTCTGTAAGCCACTGGGAGAAGTCTCATGATCACTAGTACTTGTTCTTATGTGGGACTTCAACATCCCAGGTGTGTGCTGAAAATAAAATACATCAGAGAGGAAACAGTCCAGTAGGTTCCTGAAGTGCGTGGAAGAAAACTTCCTGACACAGTGAGTGAGCCAACTAGGGAAGGTGCTTTTCTCGTCCTGCTCTTTGTGACCAGCGAGGGACTTATGAGTGATGTGATGGTTGGAGGCTGTCTTGAACACAATGATCATGAATTGATAAACTTCTCAATTCTGAGATCAGAAAGGACCAGGGTCAGCAGAACTGCTACCTTAGACTTCCAGAGGGCAGACTTTGGCCTGTTTAGGAAGTTTAGGAGGCAGTCCTGAAGGGCAAAATAGTCCAGGAAGGCTTGACATTCTTCAAGAAGGAAATACTTAAGGCGAAGGAGCAGGCTGTCTTCATGTTCAGACTAAAGAGCCATCAGGGAAGAAGACTGGCCTGGCTGAACAGAGAGCTTTGGCTGGAACTCAGGAAAAAGAGAAAAGTTTACAACCCTTGGAGGAAGAGTCAGGCAAATTAGGAGGACTACAGTGATGTCATGCAGGGAGAAAATTGGAAGGGCCTGTATAGATAATCACAGAACAGATTTTAATGAACAAAGGCGAGATGCAGGGAGGTGTTAATTCAGCTCAGCTCTGTCTTGCCTTGATAGATCCTTAACTGTGATGACCCAAGGGGAGTTGTTAAAAATGACTCAGCCCTGAGTTATCCAAAATGAAACAGGAGACAAAGGACCAAAACTCAAATTGAACCAAAACCCTAATAACAAACATTTTACCCTGAGTCTCATTTTCAACCACCATTATTCTTGAGATATGTTAAATTTGGCCAAATATATCACTATGTGTTTCAAGCTGACTGACCAGCAGGGAAAGACGAAGGAACCACTCGGTCACTCATTCGTTCACTCGTTCACTCCCTCCTCTACTGGGAATGGGGAGGAGAGCCTCGAAGGAGCAGTAGGCAGAGCCTCATGGGCTTGAGATAAAAGCAGTTTGTTTTAATGATGAAGCATAAATGATAACAATAGCAGCAAAATAACAGTAAAAACAGTAGTGTTTAACTAGATAGCGTATAACGTGAGTAGTATGCAACATGGATGTCTCACCATCTGGAACTCAACTGAAGCCGTCGTTTTAGCTGAAGCCATAGTTATAACCAGAACTGTAGTTTTAGCTGGTATGTAGGAGACTGGTATGCTTGGGCAAACAGAATTAGTGTGACAATGGAGATGTGAGACAGGTATTCCACAAGCAGAGCTTATCCCCAAGGACAGGATGCTCTTATCTTCAAAGATGGAATGCCCCAGGACTCCCAAGGGCCAGTAAGATATGTAGAACCAGCCTAGGCCAGCCTTGGACTCTCTTAACAAAGACAACGAGTTAACTGAACGGAGCCCATCAACAGGACACCCCAATGAAGACTACCATGATGAAGTAAAATGACCACCAGAGACTCTGATGACCACCAAAAGACTGTATTATGCATGTGGGAGTGAGCGACAACATGTTAATAAGTTCTCAGGAAATTGCATGAATATGTATATTCATAAACTGTATAAAAGCTGTATGTCTGGCCTTTCTCGGGTCACACACCAGGTGGAGCCATCCCAGGGGTGCCCAGTGCTGCAATGAGGAATACCTGCTTAATAGACACCAATGCTATTAAGTTCTGATTTCGCCCTTTTCATGGCATCAATTTCATCAAATCAAATTAATCAAAGCAAATTAAATGAAACTAAATTCATCCTGTATACAGTACCCTACATAGAACATCTTCTACATTTCACGAGTACCCCAAAACCAACGGTACACCTTAAACTCCAAACTAACTCCTTCCAAGAGAATACCTTTTCTATAGATGGTCCTTGTCTGCTCCTGCAGTGATCTAGGTAAGGCGAGGAGTCCCTCTGGGAATTCCTGGGGGTACCCAAGAGTCTCATCCCAAATTGTACTTAGTCAAGCTAAAACAATCCCTGAGGTGAAATTAGACACAAACGAGGTCAATGTTGTCTTTTCTTTTGAGTATTTATTCTTCAGGTTCAGAGAGGGAGAGAGAGAGAGAGGGGAAAAGGTGAGGAGGGAAAAGAAAGACAGAAGAAGAAGAAGAAACCAATACCACCACTGATGACGCGGAAGTCATGGGCACTGCTGATGATCAATGTGATCACGCAAATGCCACTTTATTAACGGACTAACGCGGTTAATATACAGTTCCCAACGTCCTTGTTTTCTAAATGCTCTGTATTGATTGGCTATTAACAACAAACACACGCAGTCCATGCTGCTGTTCACGCTCTGTTTTCCTTTTGCTGATTCGCTCTTCGCTGCTGATCACGCTCCTGTTTCTCCCCACCTGCAGCCTGGGTTTGTTTGTGTTTTCAGTCACATACACCAGTCACAGCTCCTTGTTTTTGTTTGCTTCAGCATATTCTCACAGCTAGTGACCTTCACAAACTCTTGTCAAGTGAGGCCTAAAACTTGTCTAAAAACAGGCTGCCCGGCTTGTTCAAAACATGTCTGCTGTCCCACAATTCCCCCTTTTTGTTTTTGAACAAGCCAGACTCCATGCATAAAATGTTTAACTGCTCTCATAAAACATTTTAAAATACATCCCAATATAATCAATGTTATCAATATTCCAATCAATAAAACAACTCTATGAATCATACCCCTTAGGCAGCACTTCAGGTGAGATCGTTAACTATGAATGAAAAGGAACAGAATGAAACACTCCTCACAACAACAAATTCTATCAA